TCAAACGCCTGATATATTTACAACTAATGCATGAAGAACACAATATTATATTTTTTTTTTGATCTGCTCTAGTATGTGCTCACCCTCAAATATGCAGGTGGTGGAGAAAAAGTTTGCAAATGAACAGCTGCGCAACAAGCAAACCTTTCTTAAAAAACAGGAATGTTCAGTTCCCTCTTTCTGGAAATTCCTTTGTAAAAGCAGGTGCATGCAGGAGGGAAATACTATTCATAGGAGAGCTGGTTATGAAATCAAGCAAATACTGGAGCCATAAAACCCGATCCATTTTTCAGGACGGTGGCAGAAAGGAGAGTAACATTGTTTCCGTGTGCTTTGAGTGTGAGGCATGTCTGATTTCCATATAATCTTAAAGGCTAACACAAGCGAAAATGCTTTGAATATTACTGTGGAATGAAACTTACCATGCAAACCGTTCAGAGGAGAAAGAAAGCAACGTTTCATCTCTTAGTATAGGATAGATGCACTATTATAGATAGACCTTAATAAAGGAGCAGTCATCCTTAATAAGATGCATGATGGTTGATCAGCCTGTTAAATGTGTTTCACCTCAAACTGTCTGACTTTACTGTGGTTTGGAGTGTTTCAAGCACCTCGGCCTTTACCCGTTAAATCTAAATTATTCTGTGTCTTATATTCTAAACTGTTTTCTTAAGGTGGAATCTACAACCACTTATTTACCAGGAGATTGAGAGACTGAGGAGTCGTTCTATAAACAAACCTCTTTCCTTCACGTAGTTCAAAGATGGAAAAGATAAAGAGATGAAATTCTGAGCATTACGTTGTTTCCCCCGTTGATATTTGGTTACCTAGTAACGCTATCACGCGCTAAAGAAACAAAATACACCCCCAGACATTAAACACCGCTGTGGCGTCAGGACTTTTGCATTCAACCTCCCCGTGCACAAAGATTTACTACCTACAACCAGCCTGGATAGAGCTCACCTCCAAATGCTCATCCTGCTGCTCAGAAAGAAGACTTTGTCTCGGGCGGCACGACCCATGAAGTAACGTAGCTTTAGCTTACTGTGACTCAGACAACTCAAACTGAGACAGGATGACACAAAACCATGTGACACATTAATCTAAAGTGAAATCTCATGATATTTCTTGCTGCGTGTAGCTGCTCCCTACGCTGAAAAAGAACTCATGAAGCTCGCTATAGTATCTGGTATCAATTCTAGGCGACTTCCTTGATGAGTTATTACAGTCCACACTGACCACCCGCCTCCCACCCAAGCAGGAAGATGACAATACCCCATCAACTTTTCACAGCTGAGGGGTAAAAAGGATGCGACAGCTCAGAACGTCTCCCAGAAACAAACAAACAAACAAAAAAATCGAGACAAAATAATCTTCTTATAATGCACAACTACTTCAAAGTTAACATTTTTATTCTGCTTTTTACACAGATCTGCTAAGTAGCTACTTATTTTATACAGACATTTTTGTTGTCTTCTCTAGTGTTGTTTTTTACCTTGGCCGTCTGTTTATATCTAACAAAGGCAGACGGCCTCTGATTCTGCAGTGCTGGCGTGCTTCTTAAAAATGACACACTGTGTCCCCTTGGGATTGTTCAGGGAAACAATCAAAATAGAGAAAGGGTGATCTCAGAGGAGTGTGAAAAGAGCTACCGACTCCTCTTTATGATTTCAAGATCGTCCTGTTTCTTGGTAATGTACAATAACATCAAAAATGCTTTTAGGACTCCACCACCGGGGGTTTCTTTACCTAAGCTGTAGAGGCTGAGAGCTCCGTAGTCAAAGAAGTAGCAGATGTGGCGGGACTCTGCGGACATGGTGCTGAAGGTGTGTGCACAGCTGGACGTGAAGGGGTAAACGCAGATGAGCATCATGTACACCAGCAGCGGCCAGGTGTAGCTGTCAGTCAGGAAGTTCAGGGTAGAGCAGAGAACGCAGAAACGCCACAGAAAGTACCTACAAACATTAATTAACAAATTAAAAATGTATATATACAAAAATATGACCCCATACAGGTGCATGCAACTGATGCTGCTGTGTAATATGTTGGCATATGCATCTCTCTGACATCCTGTGAGCTTCAAAGCTCTGACTTTACGTGTATTTTGATTCAGACTTAGTGAATTTTGCAGATGTAGCCTCCACATTTCCCCACCTGTCTGTTTTTCTCTCCAGCACTATGAGAATTTTCAAGATTACATCTTTAAAATCTCTGACTTTCAGTGATCCTTAGAAACTCTGTCGTGTTTACACAGCTGGAACGCTGACAGATGTTCACTTTACCTCTTGCTTTGATCATGAATATAACTGGACTTGTTCAAGTCTGGTGTGAATGAAAGGACGCCAAACACAAAACTCACCATGTTGGGAGGAAGTGGGTCCAGATGTTGATCGTCTCGTTGTTCATTTGGAAGCTGCTGAGGATACAGTCCAGTGCTGAGCTCCTTGGGTGACGGTATCCAGAGATGATGCCGTCCTCCCTGAACACCTGCGGAGCAAGCAGACAATCCAGGCGACAGGTGTGAAATTCAGCCAATCCTCGAAAAGGAAAAACTGATCATCAAACTTCATCCACTAACCCAGTCCTAATGATGCTGGGTTTCTGAGGCCAATATCAGTATTTAAATTAAATAAACAAACATGTTCATTTTCACTTTCCTCTAAATATAAAACCTTATTAGATCCTTTTGATAGTCATCATTAAAATGCTGATATTTTTACATTTTCATCGAACTGTTGTGGAAGAAACGTTAAAAAACAACGATCATTTCCACAAAAAGCCAAGTTTGCACTAAAAACTACAGAAAAAAGTTTAAAAAAAATGTAGCAGAACTTTACTGGTGGTAATTATTTTTATCTAGCCCCTTAAAGTGTCTGTATATAGTTCCACCACTGTTCTCACTTCATACTGTAGTGAAAACTTGTTTCTTTACGGTAAAACATCCATGACCGGATCCATCTGGATGTCGTAAGAGGAAAAGATGTTAAG